CCAATATCCCCAAATTATCTCTTGTCTTTTCTCTTTCATTTGTGTGCGGCTCCTCTTCCAGATCCTGAACCCTGAACCATGCGGGACATGGAGGGAAACATTTACAACAAGAGATGTCAGAGATTTTACTGCCTGTTTTCTTCTAAGAATTTTATGGTTTCTTTTTTTTTTAAAATATATTTTATTGATTTTTTTTACAGAGAGGAAGGGAGAGGGATAGAGAGTCAGAAACATTGATGAGAGAGAAACATCAATCAGCTGCCTCCTGCACACCCCCTACTGGGGATGTGCCCGCAACCGAGGTACATGCCCTTGACTGGAATCGAACCCGGGACCCTCAAGTCCGCAGGCCGACGCTCTATCCACTGAGCCAAAGCGGTCAGGGCGAATTTTATGGTTTCAAGTGTTACATTTGTCTAATTCATTTTGAGTGCATTCTTGTGTATGATGTAAGAAGGTGGTCTAGTTTCATTTTTTTGCATGTATCTGTCCAATTTCCCAACACGATTTATTGAAGAGACTGCCTTTATCCCATTGTATGCTTTTGCCTCCTTTGTCAAATATTAATTAACCATAGAGGCCTGGGTTTATTTCTGGGCTCTGTATTCTGCTTCATGGATCTATATGTCTGCTTTTATGCTTGTACTATGCTGCTTTGGTTACTATGGCTTTGTAGTATAGTTTGATTTCAGTCAGTGTGGTTCCTCCAACTTTGTTCTTCTTTCTCAAGATAATTGGCCAATTGTACGTCCTCTTTGGAGAAATGTTCAGGTCTTCTGCCCATTTTTTCATTGGATTGTTTGTCTCTTTTTTTAGTTCCATATAGATTTTTGGATTATTTATTCTAGTTCTGTGAAGTATGCCATTAGTATTTTTATAAGAATTGCATTGAATCTATAGATTTGGGTAGTATGGACATTTTAATGATGTTAATTCTTCCTATCCATGAGCACAATATATTTATTTATATCTTCTTCAATTTCTTTTTTCAGTGTTTTATAATGTTTCAAGTACAGGTCTTTTACCTCCTTGGTTAAATTTAGCCTTAGGTATGTTTTAATGCAATTGTAAATGGGATTGTTTTCTTAGTTTCCCTGCTTGCCCTTTCTGATAGCTCATTATTGGTGTATAAAAATGCAACCAATTTCTGAATATTTATTTTGTATCCTGCTCCTTTACTGGATTCCTTTATCAGTTTTAGTAGCCTTTTGGTGGAATCTGTAGGGTTCTCTCTCTATATATCAGTATTATGTCATCTGCAAATAATGACAACTTTACTTCTTTCCGATTTGGATATCTTTTATTTCCTCTTCTTGTCTGATCGAGTGACTAGGTAGGACTTACAGTACTATGTTGAATAAGAGTGGTAAAGCCCTAGATCAGCGGTTCTCAACCTGTGGGTCGCGACCCCTTTGGCTGTCGAACGACCCTTTCACAGGGGTCGCCTAAGACCATCTTGCATATCAGATATTTACACTACGATTCATAACAGTAGCAGCATTACAGTTATGAAGTAGCAACGAAAATAATTTTATGGTTGGGTCACAACATCAGGAACTGTATTTAAAGGGCCAGAAGGTTGAGAACCACTGCCCTAGATCAAGCATGTCAAACTCGAGGCATGAGTTTGACATGCTCAATGGTTTGGCTCATTGGCTAGAGCGTTGGCCCTTGGACAGAAGGGTTGCGGGTTCGATTCTGGTTGAGAGCATGTGCTTCTGATGGTCAGGGCATGTGCAGAAGGCAACCAGTTGATGTGTCTATCTCACCAATTGATGTGTCTTGCTCACGATGTCTCTCCTGCCTTTCACTCTCTCTCTCTCAAAAAAAAAAAGTGGTGCCCGGTCAGCGGTGTGGCTCAGTGATTGAACATCGACCTATGAACCAGGAGATCCTGGTTCAATTCTCAGTGAGGGCACATGCCAGCTTGTGGGCTCCATCCCCGGTAGGGGGTGTGCAGGAGGCAGCCAATTGATGATTCTCTCTCATCATTGATGTTTCTATCCCTCTCTCCCTCTTCTTTCCTCTAGGAAGTTAATAAAATATATTTTTTAAAAAAGAAAAGATATTTTTTAAATACATCCCTATCTTATTGTGATATTAAGAGAAACACTTTTAACTTTTCCCCATTGAGTATGATGTTAGATGTGTGTTTGTCATATATGGCCTTTGTTATGTTAAAGTATGCTCCCTCTGTTCCCACTTTGCTGAGTTTTTATCATAAAGGGTGCTGAATTTTGTCAGATGCTTTTTCTGCATCTATTGATATCTATTGATCATATCTATTGGTATGACCATATGAATTTAATCCTTCATTTTGTTTATATGATGTATCACATTAATTAATTTGCTGATATTGCACCAACCTTGCATCCCTGGAATAAATCCCATAGGGTCGTGGTGTGTTATCTTTTGAATGTATTGCTGGATCCGATTTGCTAATATTTTGTTGAGGATTTTCCCATCTATGTCCATCAGGGATGCTGGCCTATAATTTTCTTTCTTTGTGGTGTCTTTATCTGGTTTTGGATTAGGATAATGCTGGTGCATGTGCAGGCTTGTATTTCTGGGTGCCTTGGTGAGTGAGACCGAGAAAGGCAGGTTTGTGAGGAGTTGTATAGACAGACAAATGGAGACAGGCAGCCCTGTCTTAGGATGGGCAGAAGCCCAGGCATAGAAAAGAAGAGGCAGAGACTGACAGAGAGAAAAGCCAAGAAACAGAGAGACTAAAAGAGTCATCAGAAAAAGTACATAGCGATGGGGCTGAGACTGTCAGACACTTCGGGCTCATAGGCCCAGCGTGTGCCAGTCCCGGAGAGCGAGGTCCTCACAGGGCGTTCTGTGCTCCAGCAGCCACACAGCGCCCTCTCCTGGATGGCACAGGCCTGGCAGGCGCAGAGCCGGCCACCCTCCCGCGTCTGCATGGGAACCATTTTCTGAGCCTGAGGTTTGGAGGCAGGTCTGGCCTTCAGCCACCATGATGCTCCCATTGGCCTACGGCCCCTGGCCTCCTCCTCCTGGATGCCAGGGAGGACCGCTCTCAGCAGCTGATTGTCCCCGAGGTCCGACGGGGTCCTGACGCTGTGCCATCCTGCCCAGGGCCAGCCCGGGAAGCAGGGGGGATGTGAGACACTCCCCAGGGTCTCCATGCACAGCTGGGAAGGCGTTCACTGTGGGGCACACCTATCCACAGCCACCCGCACAGACGGAGTATTCACCACCCTCCTTGGCCAGCAGAGGGCAGTCAAGTATCTTGTTCCAACCAAACCTGAGGATTATGCCCGTCTGCCAACAGATGTCAGTAAGGTGTTTGGAGGAAGCCATGTCTTGGGCTAATTGACACAAAGGGGCCTGACTTGGCCCAGACTTGGGGGAGGTTGAGACTGGGATCAGGAAGGTGTCCTCTAGAAGCCTGCATCCTGCCTCGGCAAAGGCAGGTGGTCCTGGACCCCCAGGTCAGGAGCTGCCCATTTCTATGAAAAGCGTCGGATTTCTTCCTACCTCTGGACTCCAAACCTTGGGCTTCTCCCTTCTTTGCCCTCTCCCCTCGCCCTCACCAGTTAGTCATGGAGTCTGGCCAGGTTTCCTGATATTGTCCCCCAGTAGGAATTCTTCCTGCTCCCCAGGTGCAGGCAGGCCTCCACCATTCAGGGCACCCCTCCCTGGCTGGCCTTTGGGACTACTGGTTTGTCCCATTTCCCCCCAAAGCAGCCCTTCGTCCCTTACACACAACTGCAGAGTGACTGCCCAACACCTCTTCCCACCTGAGCGTCTCCATTTATAAACTCTCAGAGCTTCCCGGTGGCCCAGAGTGTCAGTCCAATCACATCAGGCCGTTACCAGGGGGGCCGACTGGCTCTGTGGGCCCGAAGGGTAGCCCGGGCCTAGCGTGGGGAAGGGTGTTCCCAGGGCCATGCTCTCTGGGATGTGGTGAGCCGCCCTGAAAGGTCACACATGGCAGGGGGCCAGCCAGATGGGTTCAATGACAACAAAGTTCCCCAGGCCAGGGCTCCTGGGCTCCAAGTCTGTCTCGGAGCTTCCCCGTGTGACTCCACCCACTGGGAGAGGACCGTGCTTACAGGACTCGGGGTTGGCTGGAAACGGGTGTTCTTCCATTTTATCCTTGGGGGCCAAAAACCCACGTTTGAATCCTCATTCTGCCAGTTAGATGCTGTGTGCCCTCAGGTAGGTCTCTTGCCCTCTCTGAGTCTCCATTTCCTCATCTCCTAAATGAGGATGATGATACCTGCCTCCCAAGATTGCTGTGAAGATTTTAACTTTTTATTATGAACATTTAAAAAAATATATTTTTATTGATTTTAGAGAGGAAGGGAGAGGGAGAGAGAGAAACATCAATCATGAGAGAAAATATACTCATCACCAGGCTTCAGCAATTGCCAGCTCAGGGCCAGTCTTGTTTGCTCAGCATTCCACTTCTTAATCCCCTTTTTCCCCTGGACTATTTAAGAGCAAATCCCAGTCACATAATTATTTCACCTGTAAGTACTTCAGTATGTCTCTGTCAGAGATAAGAACTTTTTTTTTTTTTTTTGCCTAAAAGATGACAACAGTACCATTATCGCCTCTGACAAATTTATAACAATTATTTAATAATATTAAGATCCTTCGGTTTTCCTTGACTGTCTCACGTCTTCTCACAGCTGATCTGTTTGAATCATTTGTGATATGCTTCTTACATCCCTTTCAATCCATTACACTTCCCTTTCCCACTTTTTTCCTCATTTATTTATTGAAAAATCAGATAATTTCTCTGGTGGAGTTTCTCATAGCCTGGATGTTGCTGACTGCACCTCTGTGGTGTCATTTAACATGACCCACGGGCTCACGTATTTCTTGTAAACTGGCAGATAACCCAGAGACCTAAGCGGAGTCAGCTATGCAGGGAGCCTGCAGCTGGAGAGAGACAGAGATGCTGCCCTCGGGAGGCACAGAATGGCTGAGTGTTAGGGTTGCTCAGTGGGTTCAGCGTTTCATGGATGGAGTGAGAACATGTATGGAGAGCCCTGAACTTGTGGCCTCACTGAGTAAGCGCTCTCTGATTGGTGGCTTTCACAAGGGCTTTGGGACCCTGGGCAAGAGGATGGTGAAAGGCAAGAAGGAGTTGATCGCCCGGTTCTTGGATCCATTTGAGGTGGTTCTGCGTGATCCATGAGTTGGGTAACCAATTCCTTCATTCGCTGTATGGGGTAGAGCAGTGGTTCTCAACCTTCCTAATGCCGCGACCCTTTCATACAGTTCCTCATGTTGTGGTGACCCCCAATTTCATTGTTACAAATTGAACATAATTAACGCATAGTGATTAATCACAAAAACAATATGTAATTATATATGTGTTTTCCGGTGGTCTTAGGCGACCCCTGTGAAAGGGTCGTTCGACCCGCAAAGAGGACGCGACCCACAGGTTGAGAACCGCTGGGGTAGAGGGTCTTATCTAGGCTCTAGGTCTGCTCTTGCAAAAGCTGTGTCCCCAAGCCCGATTTGTGACCCAGTTTCCATTTCTGGTGAGTCATTTGTCAGGAACTGTCACCCCTCCCTCACATTGGGCCAACTGAGCTGCTGCTAAACTTCCAGGAGCCATAAGCGGCCTTCGCTTGGCTCCGAGGGACCAGGGAGGGATGAGCCAGCTCCCAGCCCTGTCCCTGGCGTGGGCATGGCCCCTGGGGCACAGTCCCTGCCGGGAGCCGGTCCATCCTTGCTGTTTCAAGGGACCTGGCATATATGGCATACTGTTCTTAATATGTTTGCTCACCTTCTTGGCGCTATGTGTTTTAACTCAGGTCACCTCTCCAAGAAAGGTTGTTTCCCCAGGTAGGGATTTTTCCCTGAAGTTAGGGAGGGAATAAAACCCCTTAACTAAGTGCCAGGCGGGTAGTTAATCACTTTAACTACAAACAATCACACTTAAGCTACATAATCTTTACTCCCTGGAATGGAGATAAGAAACGCCCTAACCTTTGGAATAGAGATTGATAGGATTGGAATCAACTGGTATAAATACAGATGTAACAAGACAACAGGACACAGAACCTAGA